CCCCAAAACCCCAAAACCCCAAAACCCCACCTCAAGATTCCTGAATTGAATCCCTCTGCTACCCCATCATCAGACCTAGAGGCATTCAAAATTCAATTCTAAATCATTAAGCTTTCTTAACCAAGCTCTGAGCTATTTTAAGAGCCTCGGTGGCCCTGGCCTGGCCGCCAGGGCCACCGAGGACATACTTCTCATCTTGCTTGATCTTCTTGACGCTTTCAAGCATTTTCACGATTCTGTCCCGCTTTTCCTCTAGCTCTTGAAGCTCTTGTGCCACTGTAGTGCAACCACTAGCCTGTAGGGATTCAGAAGTTGAGTCGCATGCGAAGTTCAGTTGTACACTTTTCTTCACTGGCTTTATGGGTGAAGGAGGTTTCTGGCCCTCATCTGTGATGTTATACATCAGTTTCTCAGTCCGAACGTAGTTTTCAGCGATTATTTGGTGTATCTTGTTCGGTGATTCGAATAAGTGATCAAGGTTCCCACCTTCACTAAATAACAGAGCTTTCATCTTAACTAGTTGGTCCTGGCGAGTGCATCTTGAGCAGTGGCAAATACCTTGGCAGAATGGTCATATCCAATTAGATTTACAGTCGCTTAGAGATAGATCGTAGTAAATTTTAAGACAAAAACTGCAGTACATTCTGTTGCACTCGTAATACTCAAAATTAGCATTGTGATGTGAAGCTATCTTCTTATTAGATTTTGACGACTCCATGTCTTGGTTATAAACACCAGTTGATTTCTTGTCACTACCTCACTTGTTTCTTTTGTTCCTTGAAATTTTGGTCTTATTTTCTATCCAATTTTTCTTTCTGGGAGCAAAATTGTCCTTGCATCGTTTGACAATGTGAGTCATTAATATTAGACCCTGTTTGAATTCAAGAGTTATTTCGACTTGAAACCACAATTTGCAATAGCATAATTTATAGCTTGAGTATTGTACGGTTCTACATTAAACGCCTTGATGTTCTTGACTAGCATGAAGGATGGGACAGCATGGCCATAATCAGCTGAATTATAACTACAACTTGCTAATATAACCTTCGGCTTATTCTGCTTACATTGGTGGCAAAACCCATACTCACTGCCATTCTCTTCAGTTTGCTTCCAATATTTCTTAATATCTCTCTTCTTCCCATCTGCCTTAATCTCATTTATACCAGTCAAAGGTGAGGTTTTGGCCCCTATAAGTTCCAAAAATCACGCCCAAGCCCACAAAAAAGCCCTAAATTCTCCAAAAATCTACGCTTGGGCCTTAACCCATTCAGCTGTCTTACCATTAAGCATGGCCAAAATCTCTTGGTTGACCCACAGAGGAGGAATTCTGACGGACTCATCGAACAAAATCTTGTATTCATACGTGGGCTTATAGGAGGCTTTGCCTTTCTTCTTGTTTAGAAGTCTTCTCGAGTAGACTTGTACAAGGCTTTCAGCAATTTGTTTGAGCTCAAGTTTTTCAACGGTGAGTTTAAGGTAAAGCAAGTTGTGAGCTATTGGTTATGGGGAAGTTTAGAGGGAGGGCTTACTGCTGTCAGGTTTTGGCTCGATTTCGTTGCTAGATTTAGTTAGAGGGGTTAATCAACACAAAATCTCCCAAAAGAGTATCAAATTCCAAAGAAAATCTCTTCTGAAGTTCAAATTTCCTTACCCAACTCTCTTTTTATCAGTCTCTCATTTGATATTTTTCAGTATTGCTTTATTGGCTTTAGTCTGTTTGGCTAGTTCTTTCTCAAGCTCTAAAGCTAAGAGGCAGAGACTTACGCTTAATCTCTGCTGATATATCTCTTCTTATAATACCACTAAGGCTATTCTTTGATTTATTAGATCTTTTAGCAGCTAGACTTGTAGTAATCTGTGTCTCTTCCACATTATAGATTTTATAATCAAAAATCCTATCAACTTCATGTACACTTGCAAATGTGCCAAATCCAAGAGGGTCCTGGCAGGCTAGCTTCTCCGACGATAATGCATACCTCTGCTTGAGGTAATACTCTGTGTACTTTTCAATAGGAATTTCAGGGGTCTCATCTTCATCAGGCTACATAAAATTACCTCAAGTTCCAATCCTTGAGACCCAAGATTAAGTAAAATCTAAGTATTTGGATGGATTTTAGTGTAAAAAGTCCGTTGGGGACTTACCTTGCTTAAATATTCCTTTAATTTCTCAAACTTTTCCTCAATTTTTTCTGTATTCAGCTGCTCAAAGTACTCTTGACAAAGAGCGAATACTATATTTTAGGGAGCTAATAAGTACCCTGTGATGATTTATTTGTCGTCTTCGAAGGCGAAGTGCCATATTTTGGCCCAGGATATGTTCTCGAGTTGTTAAATTCCATTTCTCCGCAAATTAATATTATAACAACAATTGTTAAGAAGACTGATGGGGTTTTGGGGTTTTGGGGTTTTGGGGTTTTGGGG